GGACCCCCCGGGGAGGAGCTGGGAGCCCCTGCCCGTTGCAGGGGGGGAGGTTCAGGACCCCCCGGGGAGGAGCTGGGAGCCCCTGCCCGTTGCGGGGGGGGGGGGCACAGGACCCACTAGGGGAGCAGAACCCCCCTGCCCGTTTGGGATGGGGAGCAGGAGCCCCGGGGCGGAGCACGAGGCCCCTGCCCGTTGGGGGGGGGCACAGGACCCACTAGGGGAGCAGGACTCCCCTGCCCGTTGGGGGGGGAGCAGGACCCCCGGGGCGGAGCAGGACCCCCCTGCCCGTTGGGGGGGGGGGCCGGGCCCGGGGGGGGGGGCAGGACCCCCCTGCCCGTGGGGGGGGGGAGAGCAGGAGCCCTGCCCAAGCGGAGGCAGGGGGCGGGGAGAGCAGCCCGGGCCCGGCCGTACCTGTCAGCAGGCGGCGGAAGGTTTCCTGGCTCAGGCCCCGCACGCCCCTGGCCATCGCCTCCACCTCGGCGGGCAGCCGGGCCCCCAGGAAGCTGACTCTGCCCAGGCTGCTCTCGCCGTGCACCGGGTGCGAGTAGGGCGGCGACCCCGCCTTCCCGGCTGCAGCCATGGCGGCCCGAGCGCCCGGCTCTCCGCCTCAGCTCGCAGCCCCGCGCCCGGCCGCTCCGCCTGCCCAGCGCGCCCCCTGCTGGCCCGAGGCAGACGCGACAGCGCCTGGCCCGCCGCCGCTTGGGAAGCTGGGAGACTGGCGCAGGGGCTGAGGGGAATTGGAGGGATGGTATAAAATGCGCTTGGGCCCAGACTTAGCCTGAAGTAAAGCAACGCTAATAACTCCCCGCAGTGCTCAGGCCATTGCCGACGTTGTGCAGATGTTTGCAGCTGGCCGCAGGTCCCCCTGTAAACCAAGTCATGTCCCTATTTCATAGCCAGCATCTGTAACAACAGAATTACAGACACACCACAACACATCATCGCATCCGAAGACGTGAGGTTTTTACCCACGAAAGCTTATGCCCAAATAAATCTGTTAGTCTTTAAGGTGCCACCAGACTCCTTGTTGTTTTTGTAGCTACAGACTAACACGGCTACCCCCTGATACTTAACACAGGGAAAAGGCACTCTCCTGGGCTTTCCCTGTTAGCTTTACTGGGATTGTAGGGAAGGGAAAATATAGAAGAGAGAAAGAGAAAGGAGGCAAATACAAATGAGAAAAAGAAGGAGCCCTAGAGAAACGTGATGCAGAAGAACAGAGAAAGAAGCCAAATCCATCAACATGAAAAAAGCCTGAACATCAGCATGAGACTGAAATCAATGGCAGAAACTGGTAGACACCCTATGCACCTGAGGGTACGGAGGAGAAAGAAAGAAATACAAAAGAGTAAAAAGAAGGGGAAAGAGAAGCAGAAAAATAGATACAGGATCAAACTCACAGAACTAGACATTAACACATGTAGCTGTCAAATAACTATTGATTCAATTCCTCTTCTCATCTATGTTTGTGACCGGGCTCTCCCCTCAGACGTAGCTGTTATTGTGTGTGGGGTGTGTGTTTCGGAGTGTGGGGTGTTGAATTATGTGTATAATGCAGTTATATGCTGCTGGGTATGTTGGATGTGTATGTGGCTGGCTCTGGTGGGTGCTGCATATGGGATGTGTACAGCTGTGTGTGTAGGGGGTGTTGCTGAGTGTGGTGTATATTGGATGTGTGGCTGGGATGGTGTGTGTGCACGGCTGGTGTATGCTGGGTATGGTGTGTGTGTTGCTGGTGTATGCTGGGTCTGGGCTGTGTGCATGGCTGGGGTTGCTCCTGGGTATAAGTTGTGTGTGTGTGTGTGTGTTACCGGGGATGGGGTTTGTATGTGTGGCAGGGGGTGTTCCTGGGTATGGTGTGTGTGTGTGTGTTGCTGGGGATGGGGTATGTGTGTGTGACAGGGGGTGTTCCTGGGTATGGTGTGTGTGGCTGGTGTATGCTGGGTGTATTGCTGGGTACGGGCTGTGTGAATGGCTGGGGTTGCTCCTGGGTATAAGTTGTGTGTGTTGCTGGGGATGGGGTATGTGTGTGTGACAGGGGGTGTTCCTGGGTATGGTGTGTGTGTGTGGCTGGTGTATGCTGGGTATGGGCTGTGTGCATGGCTGGGGTTGCTCCTGGGTATAAGTTGTGTGTGTGTGTTGCTGGATATGTATGTGTCTAGTGGTGTTGGATACTGTGTGTCTCTCTCCGGCGGTGTTGTTGACGGGTCTGGGCTCTGATCACTGGCGGCTTAGGGCCGTAGTTCCCCTCCGTCGCAGCAGGGGGCGCAGCCTCCCCGTCTCTTCCCGGAGCCGGAAGCGGCGGCTGGCTCCCGCTCTGAGCTGATTGAAGCCTGGCACCGGCCGGCCTGTAATGGCGGCTCCCGCGGCCCGGTTGCTGTGTGTGTGAGCAGCTCGCAGAGCCGGCCCGAGCCCGCGGCCCCGCGCTCCCCCGGCCGGACCCCGTCCATGGTGGCACCGTGGGCCCGCGAGAGCAGCAGGTGCTTGAGGCCGGGCGAGCCAGAGCCAGAGCCAGAGCCGCCGCCCGGGCCCCCCGCCCTGCCCGCGGCGCCATGAGCGAGGCGTTGTACGAGAAGTTCCTGGCCCCGGACGAGCCCTGCCCGCTGCTCTGCCACCAGCCCCCGCCGCGGGCCGCCAGCCTGAGCGAGGAGGGCTGCCTGGATGTCAGCGACTTCGGCTGCCAGCTCTCGTCCTGCCACCGCACCGACCCGCTGCGCCGCTTCCACTCCAGCAGGTGCGGGGCCGGGGGGGGCGGGGCCGCCGCCCCAGGGGTCCCCCTCTAGGCAGCCCGGCCACGGGGCCGGAGGGCTGTTCCCCTGCGTGGGGAGCGAGCCCCCGGCTCTTTGTGGTGCTTGCCCTGCCCTCGCCCCCTGGCTGTGCCTGCCACAGGCAGTAAGTGCTCAGCTCTCTCCCTGCCTCTTGGGTGGATGGGGTTGTCCCCGACCGAGTTGTTTTCCTGAATCTGCCAGTAGGCGTCAAGGTGGTTCCCCCCCCCCCAGTAGAGTTAGTGCAATCGGCTCAGCTTCATTGAAACCCCTCCATCGCCAGAGAGTAGCTGACCATTTTGGCAGGTAGAATGAGAGTTTAGGCAAGAGTGGAGCTAGTTTAAATTGAGCTTGCTGGGTTGGGAAGTAGCACCCGTTTCCCTAGTGTAGATAAGGCCTTTCTGTGCCTTAGTTCCCTCCTCGCCCGCTCCCAAGAAATTTGCAAATCCCTGTATTACTGCCCAGCCACAATGATATAGTAACATCTTCTATAAGCCTTCACTAAGCTAAAAAAACCTTACTATGCTAAGTATCAGAGGGGTAGCTGTGTTAGTCCGGATCTGTAAAACAGAGTACAGGACTCTTTGTCGCTTTTTACTATGCTAGTAACTATTTGCTTCTCCTCCACCCCAATCCCAGCATGCTTGTAAAACACAGCCAGCCCACATACATGCCAAATACCGTTTGGATTAGGCTTGCTTTCTGCGGGGCTAATTAGTTTAATGACATTATGGCTGGTATTAAAATGGTTCAGATAGCTATCCTATGGTGCGTTTGTGGCCTTTTTGAATCTTCTAGAAATCATTGTGTTTGGGAACTGTGGAATAGGAACTCAGAGGGTGTTGCAGCTGAAACAATTTAGAACAGTCCTAGTGTGGGCACAAAGCAAACCTACAAAGATTCAGAACATGAGTCAGAATGGCTTGAGTGGATGGATCGAAATGTTTCTGCTTGAACTAGTGCAGTCTTCACATTTCGGTTAAGAACTGTTTGATTTTTCTGGTGCAAATCGAGTCTTATGGCATTGGTGAGGTGTAACTTCCAAAAGTGCTCAACTAGTTTTGCTAAAAACTACCATTTCTGTTTACTACAAAATACAAACAAATCAATTCCCAAAGTGAAAAAATAATTTTGTCTACCCAAGAAGCAGATCTTGTATATGTGTATCCAGAAGTAACTTTTTGTATGTCAATAATCAGTCATGCTAAAGTTGCAACAACGTTCAGATCTGGGCCTTAGATGTGAATTCAAGATAGTTTTGATGATTCTCAGCTTAGACTTCAAAATGTTTTTGCATTACACATGTGCATCTAACTCCCCCACACTTTAAATTTTTTAAATTATTTAATGTAAATATGACAGGTACTTTGCAAAGTTTGAATTTAGACTGAGAAGTAACATACCAACTTCCAGCTCAATTTACATTAAAATAAGTTAACTTAGGCTTTGTCTACGCTGGCACTTTTGTTGCTAAAACTTTTGTCGCTTGGGGGTGTGAAAAAACACACCCCCGAATGACAAAAGTTTTAGTGATGAAAAGCGCCTGTGGGGGCAGTGCTTCGTCGACCGTTGACGAAACTGCCGCCCCTCATTGGAGGTGGTTTTATTTTGTCGACGGGCGAGCTCGCTCCTGCTGATAAAGAGCAGCCACACAGCGAACCTTACAATGACGTGGCTGCAGCAGCAAAACTGTGCCGTTGTAAGGGTTGCAGTGTAGATATATAGCCTTAGAAAGATGGTTGACAATGGAAAAGCTGACAGGCCCTTAATCATAGCATTGCTAGCCATCATTCTAATACAAACATAAGTGTGCTTTCATTACTCAGTGTGAATTCAATTACATTTTCTCCCTCTGGGCTTTTGCACTATACTTCTATAAAGCCTGCATGTGACCTAAACAATAGGTTCATGTATTTCTGATCAGTCTTTGGATCAATGTGAGTGGCAAGCTTGTAAATGTGTATGTAGGCTATTTTTAAATGTTCCTCCTTATAACATACCTGTCATTCAAGTTTCTGAGCATGTGTAATCAAGCCTCTGTCAGTTAACTAGTCAGTATTCTGCACCTTGAGCTAGTTCCTCATTTTTTAGGAAAGTGTATAACTTGTCTTCATTATTTTTTTTAATTCACTTTGTCCTTGTCATCTTTTGGAATATTCTGCTCACTTCCATAGTGTCTGCAAGTGCTCTGTATCTTTTGACTTTTCAAGTAAATATAATGCAATTCTCATTTCTCATGTACTTAGGTGTACTATGTTCATCAGCCCGACACCACTTTTTCTTTCATCAAGTTTTTGAACTATTTTGGTGTTTGTGACTGATCAAGTGTAAGGAGGCTAGCAATGGCTTTTACAGAGGATGAACTTCCCGTAGGAAATGGCAATTACAGTATTATTTAGGCCACCCATCTTCATTCATTAATGATTTAGGGCAAATATTTTGCCTATTGGAACGTGCAGATGCCATCCAAGAAACATAAGTGTTGAGAAGCAAGCATGTGTGTAAATCAAGTAAAGGTGCTGAGGGGCATGCTTCCCACATCAGAAGGTGTTGCTCTTCAGTCTGTGATTAAAGGGATATTCCAATAGTAATCAATATGTCAAATGAATAAAACTTCACAGGTTAAACGTAGCTTGCATGGCTTTGTACAGTGAATTTTGGAAACCTTTGAATTTTCCAAACTCTTCTGGGATTGGGCCAGAATGCTGTCCAATTGTGAAACATAGTCAAGTCTCTGCTCATCATATTGGTGAAAAATAATTGAGATGCTGAAACAAATTTTCTGACCTTGCTAAACTTCATGTGAGTAGGTCAGCAGAGTGAAAATCTGTTCCACGGCTTTCCGTGGGACCAGACAGACTTTCCAGTTTAGCACAATTAACTAATTTGTAATAATGAAGCTGTGGATAACATAAGCCTTTTTAATTAGTATTGATTGAGGTATTGGATTTTTTCATGTGGATCGCTTTCTGTTTTTCTGTGTTGTCTTTAGAATTAAAAGCTCTGTATCCTATGTCTTTTTTGGCTTTGAGAACAGAGCCCAAAATATTGAGTAAATGAGTCCCAGATGTTTCCCTGGCAAGCACTGACTTCATGGGATCTACTCACATGAGAGAGAGTTATGCTTGCTGACTCCCTGTTCTGTCTTTTAAAACAAGACCATCCTCCCTCCCTCATCTAGTGTTGGTACCTTTAATTTTGTCATGCCTATTATGGGAATACTTTTAATGGAGGTTTAAACAAACTGGAAATCATTTTTAAAAACTACATTTAATTAGAAATCTGAGACTCATAAATATGAGGAAATTATGGCTCTCTACGTGTAATAAAAAATTTCACCAGAGTCTTTGAGTATTCATCCTTTGAATTTTTCTTGATTTTGTGTGCATAAATTAGACCCTTAATATCTATTTAAATGCAGCTTATTAGATGAATTAACTTATTTCCAGCAAAATCCACATGTAACAACTGATACAAAGGTATGAATATTTTAATGTACATCTTCAAAGGACAAAGCATTTTTTCGGTGAGTGTGTGTACTGCTGTTAATTTGTTTGGTATGCTTTGCAGGTGGAACTTGACTTCTTGTGGAACAAGTGTAGCCAGCTCAGAATGCAGCGAGGAGCTGTTTTCATCAGTTTCAGTTGGTGATCAGGATGACTGCTACTCTCTATTGGATGACCAGGAGTTCACATCTTTTGATCTGTTCCCAGAGGGTAGTGTCTGCAGTGATGTCTCCTCTTCTATTAGCACATACTGGGATTGGTCAGACAGCGAGTTTGAGTGGCAGGTAAACTATTTCTGTGGTCAACACAGCAGATGAAGTGGGATCTACTAGCTGCTGTTTACAGTTTTGACTCAGAAGTAAATGTCTGAGGCTCTTTGATGGCACGATAAACTCCCACTGCCTATACTGAGATTCAGCAGTAAAGGAAGTGTTTTGATAGACCATTTTATTACAAAGTTCCCGTATAGAATTTTGATGACAAGACCTGACCAGCTTCTGAAATAGGGCTGTTGCATATTATGGTCACGTTCATTTTTAGTTATCAGCATATCTTGCATCTATGAGGCCCAATCCTTTGGTGTGGGGCATCTGCACATGTATTGGAATCTGGCTGTGTATACCTTGCATTGGCATTCCGGTGTGGCTGGGTTGCCGCTGTGTTCTTAATTCCCATTTGTGATTTTTGGGTCTGTGGGGCCGTTAGTAATCACTGTGGACCAGCCGTGTGCTCTGTGGTCCAAGGATGGGAAGAGTGCAAAGGTGAGCTTTGTGCTACCTTGGCACTTTCCTTCCAGTCTGTTACGTGCAATTCGATCTGACATCAGATTCTAATCTAGTAGCTTTACAATTTTGTTTTTGTTTTTGCATATAGCAGTCTTTCACCTGTGGAACGTGCAGATGTTCTTTCTGTTACAGGTTTAGATTTGATTATTTAACTACAATTAAAATATATGGCACATACTGTTCTAGGATAAGTGTAATCATCAATTAAAGCATAATGTTCCCTTTATCTTTCATGGACTTTAGTCATGTCATACAGTGTATGTAATACTCTGTGGCCATAGAAATATACTGTCTGTTCCAAATGTGATTTAACCCCCCTCTACCCCAATTTAAGCATTCCATGATGAATTAGGAATGTTACAGATATCCTGCAAAAGAGAAACTGTAAATGACATTGTGTAGGATAGCATTAGCTAAAAGTAGCTCCATGTTTCTTACCGCAGCTTTAGAATTCCAATTTCCAACTATATCCCTTGTACAAAAAGAATTCCAATTGCAGTTTTATAATGTAGCTTATAGAAATACCTCAGAAAATTACCCGGATGACTTAGTTCCTCATTGAGATGTGAAATATTAATTACCAGGTGGACACAGTGGGATTATAATTTTAAAAGAAAGTTTTCTGGTTAGTTGATTAGCTGGCAGCTTTCCTTTTGTGTAGTTACTGGACATTTTTTCTGTAAGCATTTGCTAGAAGAGACCTACTTGACTGGACTTGTAGAGCTTTGGAAAAGATTTTTCATTGCTTTTACCACCTTACACAGCAAATTCTGTAAGTGAGTAATTCAGTTGTCACATTTACACTTGAAGTGGATCAGAAATTACATGTCAGTTGCACAAATGAAGCTAGTTAAAATTCTGCTGTTGCTTACAGGAAAAACACCATGATGCAGGTTTTTTGTGTAGTTACTGTGTATAGTACAAATAAATAGGTTTCCAATCTTCTCAAACCATACTTTTGGAATTGAATGTTTTATTTTACAGTGGAAAATATTCTCAATTATATAACTTCTATTAAACACCTGTAATTATGACAGGTTAATTATGGGTTCCCTGGGTACACAAACGTGCAGGTAATTAGAACTGTATGGTTCAGAATGTCTTATTTTTAATAAATAACCTCATAATTAGAATCGTGGCTCGATAAACAAAAGATAGTAAACTGAATAATTTTACCCAAAAATTTAATAAATACCTTTATTTTAGGGCATCCCATTGCAATTTAAAGCTACCATTTTTATGTGCATGCGTTCATCTTTGTAGGATCTAAAACAATGAATTGCCATCCTTAAATGACACTAATAGTATTTCTGCAACATTAGGGCCTCCTGGGTTTAAGTAACAATGTACTATCATTTGAGTTTTATTTCTAAACTTTTGAATAGTCTTTTTTAAGAGTGTTATTTATGTTAATAGGAATGAACAAAAAAGTCCATCTTTTTAAAATAAACCTCCAAAACATTTATGTATTAACACTTTTTTTTTAAATGTGAAAAACTCAAATTCTGCATGTTCCAGGAATTGGTATGTATATAACACATGCAATTTTGAAAACCAAAATCTAATCAAAGTAAACTTAAATCCATAAAATCAATTTAAACCAATTGCAATAACCATTTTAAAATTAATTTATAAATCTGTTGCTTCCCTTCTCTAAGCGTCTGAGCACCTTATTTTATAAAAGAAACTAGTTATTATAAAATACCAGCTTTTCAATGTAAAGGTCAGCAATTAAACCCTGTTCCTCCACTTCCTATTGTTAAACTAAATAAAACATTCTCAGAAATTTGACCAAACAGATAAGTATTGTACTGCCCTGAAGCATGTTAAACTCTGGCTGTGGTGGACTTCTAGAAGGAGCACTTTGCCCTGCCATGAGAAGTTTAAGCTACATATATTGACAGAGTTACTCATGTGATGGAGGAGAGAGAAGTTCCAGATTATAAATATCCTCTTGAATGGTACTCAGCACAGAAGTGAGTAAGTAGCCATTGCGGACAAAAGGTTTGTGCTGCATCCTGCACTAACTGAAGCTTTTAGGGACTTTTCAAGGCTAGACCCAAGTAGCATATGTTGCAGTAATGCAGTCTGGAGGTAATAAACATGGATCACTGGTTTGGGGATGCCTCAGAAAACAATGAGCACAACCTCCAGGCCAGCCATACACGAAAAAAGATAGTCTATGCTACAGGTAATAGCTGAGACCTCAGGTGTAGTGATAAAATCCAGACTGCAAACTGTTGGCAAAGGTTGGACCTACACCCACACAAATGGAAGGTGGTCTTTTTACCTTTGCTAGTTCTGCCCAGATACTTCTCCTCAGCCATCAGCGTTGCTTCCATTGTAGTTGAGTTTGGCCTGTCCTCACCTCTGAAATCTGGCATTAGTTGAGGACACCCTCAACCTCAATATTTGTCTGAAGTTTCTTTAGTACCACTCTGTCACTGAGCTTCCTTAAAATTGGTGAGTAAGAGACTGTCCAATAATTGACTAGTGGTGATTTTCTGAGCAGGCGCTTCTTCATATTATATTTAAGTATAGCTGGCACCCTGGCTTCACAATGGGAAGCATTAACAATCCTCAATGAAGGACTAAAACCCTTCTCATTAGAATTCATTAGCCACGTGGCAAGGCTCCAGATTGATGTAGTTGGCTGCAGCCCATGTAAAACCTCACTGAGTGAAATTGGACAGAACTCCATCAGAGAAGGCAATGTGTTCATAGCCAGCTGCTCTAGCACTGCTCCAATAGTACTGGCTTAACCAGCTTGTATTTGGCTAATTATTTTTTTTTAAATTCCTTCTGGTGTAAAAAGTTTGACTCTAACAGAGCTTAGGCAAATAAGGTTCACTTGATTTCCATTCACAATGACCATTCCTGTTGGATGATGCTTGGCAGAGAATGATGCGTTAATAGAGAACATTACTCCTGAGGGCATTCTGCGCCAAAAAATTAAAAATTCTGCACACAATATTTTAAAATTCTGCAAATTTTATTTGTCAAATGGGGAGGCTCCACTATGGCATTAGGGAGCACAGGCAACTGGCTGAACAGAGGTGGGAGATCACTGTGCATCTCCCCTCCAGGATACGGACTCAGTGGTGAAGCTGCACCCAACCCTGACACAGCACAAGGATTGGGTCTGCCCAAGAAACCGCCCAGGGCCCTGCCCCTTCGTGTCAGGTGTGAGCAGGCAGGCTCAGCAAGGCAGGATCTTAGTGTGGGGGGGATCCAGGTGTGGGTTGAGAGGGTTCTGTGTGGGACCATCTGGGTGCGGGCGGCTCAGTGGGAGATCTGGATGCTCAGGGGCTTGTTGGGGGGTTCTGGGTGCAACAGTAATGGGACTTTGCAGGGGGGTCCAGGTGAAGGTGTTTGGGGCTCAGCACGGGGGGGGGGGGAGGGGGGGGGGGGACTCAGTGAGGCATCCAGATGCTGGGAGAGTGGGGCTCAGTGGGGTGCAGGGCCAGCTCCAGGCACCAGCTAAAAAAGCAGGTGCTTGGGGCGGCCAATATCAAGGGGCGGCACTCCGGCTGCTATTGGGGCGGCATGTCTGGGTCTTCGGCGGCAATTTGGCAGCGGGTCCCTCAGTCCCTCTCGGAGCGAAGGATCTACCACTGAATTGCCACCGAAGAGTGGAGCGGCGCGATCGCGCTGCTGCGGCTTGCTTTTTTTTTTTTTTTTGGCGCCGCTTGGGGCAGCAGAAAACCTGGAGCCGGCCCTGGTGGGGTGGGCATCCAGGTGCAACTGGTTGGGGCTTGGTGAGGTGAGGATCAGGGTGTGGGAGGCTTGTTGACATGGTCCAGGTGCAGGGGGAGTGGGGCTTATCAGGAAGGGGTTCTCAGTGCAGGGGAGTAAGGCTCAGCGGGAAGGTCTGGATGTACGGGGGTTGGGTGAATGGGGGAGCAGCTCCCTGCACAGGGATCCTTTTCCCTGCAGCTGAAGAGCCATGGGTGCAGGAAGTGTGGGGGAGTTTGCAGAGCTTCCTACAGCTGGGGGAGAAATCTGGGGGTGGGTCTGACCCATTCCCGGATGCCGTGCAGGGGAAGAGGAAGTCCAATCCTCCCCAGTCCAGCTGGGACTAGCAGCTGAGCCCAGTGCAAGGGTAGGAGCCACTAGCTGGGTCTTCCCCACAGTGATTTACCTCTCATGCGCAGTGGTGCAGAATTCCCCCAGGAATAGAATATACTAGCATAGCATGTTAATGGATAGGGAAGAGTGAAATGCTGCATAATTCTGCCATTTCCCTGAACGCAAATTGAAAAGGGAAATTGTGAAGTAGAAAGCTGCATAGTTTGAGTTTGCTACACTTCACTACTGCAGATGGGTCATGAAATTAACTTTTGTGCTTTCGAGTTGTAAATCATTGCTGGGCAATTGTTTGTTTGTTTGGATTAAGAACTGATACTTTGCCCATTTGACAGCATATTTTGCATGGTTAATAGTATTGGTCTGACTATTTTTCTACTCCTACCTAGCATATTTTGAGATTTTGTTCTGTTTCTTTTTTTTCTTTGCACACCTACAAGTTGCCTGGCAGTGACATTGCAAGTGGGAGTGATGTACTTTCTGATGTCATACCTAGTATTCCAAGCTCTCCGTGCTTGCTTCCAAAAAAGAAAAACAAGCATAGGAATCTTGATGAACTCCCGTGGAGCGCGATGACAAATGATGAACAGGTAAGTTTTGTTTTCATTTGTATTGGAGAGAACCAGATTAAATGTACAGAATAATTAAGACTCAATTAAATTGTTAGTTTAAGAAAAGTTCTATTGGTTACAGCAATGTAAGCATGATTTTGAACAATTGTACATGGCTATTGAAGTGAGAGATCAAATTCTTTGTCAAGTGTTCATATAGAGACGGTTAACTTTTTACTTTTCATTCTGAATTTTTATCTTAGATGATACTCAACTAGGTTGAGTCAAGAATCATAGGAAATGCAACATTTGAGAGCATTTCTTTGATCCTACATGGTACTGGTTCCTTCCTTTTACTTCTGCTTTGACTTATATTAAGAGCTAGCAGTTTTTAATAACTTTGTGTGTTTTGTTTTTATTAGGTTGAATATATTGAATACCTGAGTCGGAAAGTCAGTACTGAGATGGGTCTTCGAGAGCAACTTGATATTATTAAAATTATTGATCCCACTGCTCAGATCTCGCCTACAGATAGCGAGTTTATTATTGAATTAAACTGTCTCACAGATGAAAAATTGAAACAGGTAGGTTAAAATTTTTGTATGTGTCTCTTGAATTGGAGATACCATTGCCCTCTGACATGTGGTATGTGTTGATACATGTCTTGGAAAATCATCTATTGGGTTGTGACTAACTTTTTTCCCATGTTCATGGAGTACCAGTGGGCAGGATGGAACACAAAGTATGTTGTTGAACTTTTGCTTTCTTCAACAGTTTCATATCAGTATGTGATCTTGGACCTTATATGAAACACATTAATTACATAAACGTGACTGAAGTGGTAAGTTAGTTCTGGCATATGAAACAGTTTCAGACAAAATACTCGCTGAGTAACTTTCAAGATTTAGGCCTCAATTCTGCAAATACTTCCTCTGGTGTGTAACTTCGCTCACATGAGTAGTCCCAAAGTGAAGGTACTGGTTGTGTGACTATACTTATACACCTACATAAGCGTTTACAGGATTGGGGCCTTAATTTGCTTGCAAAAACTAAACTTAAAAAAAAAAAAAAAAATCCAAAGGCACATATTGAGTAGCAATTGATTAAAGGCTAGATCATTACTTTGGAAGTAGCTTACCCTTTTTCTTGTGTTTGGATTTCTTGTTCTTACAAAACTCGAATTCTCATGAGAAATGATGTAATTTTTCTGATTGATTTGGCAGCTTTCTATATGAATATTTTTTGGGGAAAAAACTTATTGAAGCAAGAGGCCTTATAGAAAATAGAGCAAAAATAACTCTTCACTGCGAGTGCAGAGTAGCTACTCAGCCAACCCTTAGTGTCACTTGATGAGGTGGATAGTACTGCATAGCTTCATCTTTATCATAAGCTTTGTTTTCCCTCCACTTATATTCTTGCTGAACCTATTTTGCAGGCCAGTTTTGGCATGATGGCAAGCACCCTCAGCTTTTATTGAATTCAATCAAAATCGAGAGCATTCAGGTCCCTCATAGATTCATGCCCATTTCATATTTCAGAACACTTAAAAACCCCTAATATGAGTAAGAATCTACTCTTCTGAGGGTTACTACTGGATATGTCTGTGTAGTACAATAAGTTTATAAAACATAATTTGCTTAAACAAATGTTAGTTGTCTTTTTACTACTACGGTTGACCTTTCTACATGGTGGTATAATTTTTGTAATACATTAAATAGAAAGGGGAAGAAATGTAAAAAGAATGTCAGGCAATTAATTCTCTAGCTAATTAAGTCTATTATAAGAAAGCCGAAGTGAAGATGTTAGTAGTGGTCATTACAATAAGTAGTTTTAACTGGCTAACTGAATCACTGTTTTAGACTATTCTTGGTTTAGTTTTTTCCCCCAGAACTTAATTGTAATAAACATAAAACATACAGCTTTTCCATTAAATATGCTGTCACAAAACAGTGCAGTACCAATCAAGCTTTTATCATTTTTAATGCTTTTGTTCTAAAGGTGAGAAACTATATCAAGGAACATGGTCCTCGACAACGATCTGCAAGGGAAAGCTGGAAGAGAAGCAGCTACAGTTGTGCAAGCACCAGTGGCGTGAGTGGTGCAAGTGCCAGCAGTAGCAGTGCCAGTATGGTCAGCTCAGCAAGCAGCAGCAGTTCCAGTGTTGGCAACTCTGCTTCAAATTCCAGTGCCAACATGAGTCGAGCGCACAGTGACAGTAATTTATCCACGAGTGCTGCAGAGAGAATCCGGGATTCAAAAGTAAAACTTCTAATTACGTGTGTGTGTGTGTGTGTGTGAGAGAGTGTGCACATCAATTGTTTGTTAAAGTCACTTACGTGAATTGTCATATTTTTACTGAAAGAAAAAGTATCATTGATCGTTGCAGGACCCAAGGAAATTATTTGACTAGTTGCCCCATGACACGATAGTAAAGTGTCTAAAGGTGTTCTTATATTGCTCGGTATCACTTTTTTTTGCAAGTGAAGAATTATTTTGAGATGTGTGTATGTGGTAGGGCTTAAACTAATTTGATTTTTTGTTTGAATATTTAAAGAGCTGATAAATCAGCTTGACTTTTTTAATGGTAAAAGCATGTGTTCTTTGAATTTATTAAAGGTCAATTTAATCGTTCAGAGCACAATACATGAATATTAAAGAATATCTTGATCTTTGTGATAGAACTTGTCTGATTTCCTAATTTCTTTTTGTTTTTTCAACATATTTCTCATAGGTTACTTGCCCATGCAAGCATGGTTGTACACTGAGAAGTGATTCTTTAAAAGTAACATTATGGCATCTGTGTCTCAATGATTTTCATTTTGTGTGTATATTTCTTCCAATTTTGCAAACTCAGTCTGGGCTTTAAGACAAGCTGATTTCTCTTGGTCTCGTGACTCATCACTTATAGTTAAGGTTCTTCATCTCAAAGGCTCAGTTTTACCTATGCATCCTCTTCCAGTGAGCTTGCACAAATATAACTGATAGATACTTACAAGTTTTGACAATGCACAACATGGAATAGAATTTGCATTTTGCTCACTCTTAGTTGCATTGGCTCTGCATGACTAAACAGTAAAAAGTTGCTTATTTTAGTGACAAAATTAAGTATGATTTTGAATAAACACATGGAATAGATCTGAGTAAGGGTGCCTTTTTTTTAGTCACTTCTCAGAGCAGTTTTCTGTTCACTAAAATCCACCTTTAATGTTTCTAATAAAGGACCATTTATTCCAGTAGTCTAGATATACAAGAACTCATTTTGCCATTTGTCTTTATTTTGACAGAAACGTTCTAAGCAACGGAAGCTCCAGCAAAAGGCTTTACGCAAGAGACAGCTGAAAGAGCAGAGACAGGCTCGTAAGGAAAGACTGAGCGGATTGTTTCTTAATGAAGAAGTGCTCTCTTTAAAAGTGACTGAGGAGGACCATGAAGGAGATGTGGATGTTTTAATGTGACAGGGATGAATTTATCAGTGTTCTTTCTAAGCCTTAAGTGTATTATCTTTGTTTACATACGTTTCTTGACCAAAATTTTGATTAGGACAGAGCTAACAATGTATCAAACAGAACCCTCTATTGAGTGTAATTTTAATAATTTGAACATTTATAATTTTAGAGTGAGCTAACTCTTTAAGACTAACCATTTTGTCTAAGATTGAGACTGCAACAGACAATTTCACAGTGACTTTAACAAGCTGCTGAGAAGATACTGTCTAAAAAATAAGCCACTGAATTAGGTTTGTATGGTATTTGGTTTCAAGACTGTTAAATGGGTTGGTACTCGCTTAGACACACTGATACTGATAGCAAACTTTGGAAAAAAAAAAACCTGTTTCTAAATAGGAAATCTCACCTTTATCTTGTTCTGTGGGTTCCCTTATTTCTTATTAGGAGGTTTGTTTTCATGAAAACAGGATCTTAGTTCTATAAGTTACTCTGTTCTTGCCCCTCACCATATCAAATCCTAATACTTCATGAAATTAAATTGGATATTTTGGAAATGATGGTTATGATTTCACTTAAAGAATTATGAAGTCATTGGGGAGTAATAAGCAGAAGCAGACTTCTCACCACAACAAACTGTAATGCAAATGTCAGCTAGTAACAAAATGTAGTAGAAAATGGTCATTTTCAAAAGTAGAATTTTTTCTAGGAGGAATTGGCTGTTCTTTAAGATGTAAAACTTAGTCTCTAAAAGGTTATCTTGCTCCTCAATATTTGAATGATTAGTTTTTTGGTTCCTTTGATAGTCTTATTTATGTTATTAATGGTTAATCAGTACATACTCTTTCTTGATGTTAAGAAAAAAAAAAACCCTAAAAAATGCATCTCATACATTACACTAATATCTACAGTTCAGTCATAGGATACCATTCATAAAAAAAAAAAAGTCTTAAAAAGTGTTACTGGAAACCAAAGTGCAAACAATTGATGCCCAAACTTGGTAGATATTTCTTTATGGCCAAAACCATATGTAAGAATAACTATATGCTGTTGTTGTTGGCAAGAGAACCTAATTATTGATGCAGCCGTGTGTTTTAACTGTATGCTGCCAGTTTATTTACCACTTGCAGGATAGTTTAAGGCGACAAACTTTTTTACAAGGTGTTAGATTAGCAATGATACAACTCACAGAGTACTGGTTTTGTTGTATAGCCTTTTGAATAAGTGTTGCTGAGGAGAACAAGACACCCCTTTTAGTTTTTACTTCTGCACCTGGAAACTCAAATTGAGATTTTATTCTTGACAATTAGTAAATGAATTTCTGACTTTATTATGGAAATGTTTGTTGTTGGGTTCATCTTTTGTTTTGGAAAAAATTGCTGTGTTCATTCAAATGCAACTATTAGAGGTGAAAGAGGTGACTAGAATGACCCAGTTCTGAATTCAGAAAGGTGACCTTTCTGATTTATGTTGGTGCTTCATGAATATCATTTAGATTGGTTCACTCTGGAGATAATGAGTTTGTCTCTTACTGTCAATTTAATGTGGCCTCAGAAACAGGAGTCCTGAAGTGTGCATTTTCAGGATTGGGACCTAACTCTGCTCATGAATAACTGTACACATGCGAGTAGTCCTATCAACTCCGTGTGACTATCCACCAATGCAAATGTTTGCAGGATTGGGCCCTAAATTAGTCCTGACAGTAGAATTTTATTGTCTTCTGGTGGGCTGCAAAAGTTAAATTAAAGAGAAAAAATCTGGGGACAAAGAAAATGTTAACAATGATACTACAGTTGAGATCACATTTCAGTGGAAGGTCAAAAGTAAAAACTTCTATACATGTATGTGACGACATACGTTTAGACTGTAGCATCTTTGGAAATATTTGTTTGATAGTAAATGACATAGGTGTATTACTGTTCTGACTACAAACTCTAGAACATGGACCACCTGTGAGTTGATGCAAAATATATTGGAGATCTGAAATGTCTAGTAAGTATTTATTCCTTTAAGTATTTATAATGCCATGTGCCAAATGAAAGGGCTTCAATAAGAGAGAGGTCCACAGTCAAAATAGTAAATGTAAACTCTCCTACTCAGTTGATTCTTCAGAAGTCACTAACAAGTTTGATTGCCCACTGTCTTCACTGGCAATGAGAAATATCTTAATTGTCAGTTTTAAAATTCAAATATCTGCTATGTCATTTCTGTCTTGTCATTTGAATATACTGGTAACTTGTCCTGGGCAGTGAGCTTTTTTTTATTATTATTACTTGTCTATTATACACGGTTGCAATAGTAAAATACAAAAACAATCCCATAAACTCTAGTAGTAAATCTTGTTTGTAGTGTTAAGTGTAACTCAAACCAAATAATCCTTATGTTTTCTGTTAACAAGTTTCTGAGATGGAGGATAGCTGAAATTGTATTGCTGTTAATACTGCTAATTTCAGGGGCCTATTATTAAACCCTTGTGGCAGAAGTTCACAAATTCATCATGAAACATTTCACGTAATCCATATAGGTATCTATTGCAGTTCAGTACAACCTTTATTTTCTACAGTGGCTTTGAAATATGCATCTTTATCTAAAGAAAATTGCACATTGGTTGCCACATAGAGCATTGAAACGCTGAAATTAATTGTAAGAAGGGTGCAATATCTCAATTTTTGGGGGCGTGAAAGTGTCACTTTATTTTTCTGTCTCAGCAAGTCTGCTCTTCAAAGTGTAAAATTCTTAGTTTTTATTGCAAGAGGTGACCCTCATTTTGATGAGATGCAACTCTTTTGAGTCACTTATTACCAACTTCAGAGTAGAGTAAATGTTAGTGTGAACCCCAAAGCAGTTTGTCACCCTGACTTACCAGAACGGCAAGTTAGTTAATTTTTCTAAATAATAAATTTCTAAATCTAAACCTTAAGTTGTTTGAGGAAGACCTTGCTATAGTGATTATGCGCAGTAGCAGAATTCCTATGAAATGGGAAACTTCACTGAAAGGAATAGAAAGCCTGAGGCTTTCCTATTTTTATCTGTTTGTCGTTTGGTAAATGTTATGTGAAATCCTTCACTTATTTTTATAATGGTTTTAAACTGGATATCATTCAAAACATTAGTTTTTTGTTTGAAAATACTAGAATACTAAAACAAGACATGTTGTACTAGCCTCTAAGCTTTAATTTAAGTTCTCACCTCTGTATATAAGGATGTGTATATCCCCATTTGTCATAATGAGGATATATCACTTTAAATGTGCCTTAAAGTGAGTCTGACATTCGTTTAAAATTATGAATTGGAAAAGGAAAATACAAAATTAAAATAGGTCCCTCCTAGACAAAATCTGACCATTTTTTTAAAAAATGAAGAGCAGAATGAGTCATCAATTTAAATGTTAGCCAATATAATTTTTCATTAATATTTTACAATACAAAATGAGAGGAAAAGAAATAGCATTTCTATCCTGGTGTGTGAGTGGTCCTATATAAAATAAAGTGTAAACCTAAATTTAAGCTTAATGGTTAAATAGTTCCAGTTTTCATCAACTTGGATGAATAGTTTCCAGAACTATTTTGGCCGAATGGTGGTGGTGGTGGTGGT